TGCCCCGGCTACATTCTGTAATCTTATGAATGACGTATTTAATGATTATGTCGATCAGTTCGTTGTCGTTTATTTGGATGACATTGTAATATATAGTGAGTCCCTAGAGGATCACTTGTCCCATCTTCGGAAGGTGTTCTCTCGGTTACGAGAGCACCAGTTGTATGTCAAGAAGGAAAAATGCGAGTTTGCCCAACGGGAGATTAAGTTCTTAGGGCATGTAATTTGTAAAGGCCATGTAAAGATGGACAACAGAAAGGTGCATGCAATCATGGATTGGCAAGCACCAAGCAAAGTGACTGAGTTGCGTTCCTTTTTGGGTTTAGCCAACTATTATAGAAAATTCATTGGGGGATACTCAAAGAAGGCAGCACCTCTAACAGATTTGCTCAAGAAAGACAGACCCTGGAAGTGGGATGAAAATTGTCAAGCGGCCTTTGACAAATTGAAAGTGGCTGTTGCAAGTGAACCGGTTTTGCGGTTACCTGATTTTGAACTTCCATTCAAATTACACACTGATGCCTCTGATAAGGCTATTGGCGGTGTGCTGGTGCAAGAGGGGCACCCGGTTGCGTTCGAAAGTCGGAAGCTGAATGATGCGGAGAAGAAGTATTCTGCCCATGAAAAGGAAATGACAGCAGTTGTGCATTGTCTACAGATTTGGAGAGTGTACCTGCTGGGAACCAAATTCATGGTATTGACGGACAATGTGGCAAATACCTTCTTCAAAACACAAAAGAAGTTGTCTCTAAGGCAGGCCAGATGGCAAGAATTCCTTGAAGAGTATGACTTCGAATGGTGACACAAACCAGCATTACAAGGAAAGCATGCCAAGTGGCATGGCAGTTGACACCCCCAACTGCCTAGGGACTTAGGAACATTTCTGGAGCATAACTGCTCTTAACTGCTGCTATGTTTCAGCCTTGGTTCCAGGTGTCCAGACTTGCCTTGTCTTTGCCCATCATGGGTAACTGCTGCCAACTGACATGCATAACTGCTAGTAACTGCCATGTTTTTTTGCCTCATCAAGTCAGCCACGAATTTGGTTGTCTTAGCCTCCAGACCAAGTTTTGCCTACTGATTGCATTTAACCCCCAAGCATGCTGCAGCCCACATTCGGGTCATGTTAATGCCTTGCATCTGTGCAACGGCTGCCATACTTTGGCCAAGGGTTGTGCTGCTGCCTCAGCACTTGGACAACATTTTACCTTGCTGTCTTGGCATGCCTCCATCATGCCTTGGTCTTGGTTGGTCATGGGCCCAAGGTGCTGCCAATGCCAACCATGCAGCCCTCAAGTAGAAGGTGCTAACAAACCACCCCCACCAGAAGAAGCTGACGTCCTCGTCGGTAAAGCCTCTAAGTAGTTCGTAATTTGCTTCTCAAACTGCCATAGAGTCACATCCTTTTCCCAACTTGCATCCGCTTCGGGAGAACCCTTCCACTTAACCAAGTAATGAGTTCTTCGATTTTTCTTACTTTGTCCCTCTGTTTTGTGATCCAAAATATGTTCCACCTCTTTGTCAAACTGTTTTCTGATCACCGGAGGGGCGCGTCGAGCTTGCGTCCGTGTTAGGTTTGCCTGATCCTTGTTATAAGGTTTTAGGTAGCTAACATGGATTGTTTGGTGTATCTTCAACCGGTCAGGCAATTTCAGCCTGTAAGCAACATTTCCCACACGTTTTAGAATTTCAAAGGGTCCATCATATTTTGGAACTAAGCCGCGGTGCGCTGTTTTGCTACTTATCTTTTTCCAAATCTGTGGAGTAAGTTTCAGCAGCACCTTGTCTCCCACTTTGAATTCCAAGGGTCTTCGCCCTTTGTCAGCATACTTTTTCATCCGCTTGCTTGCCTTAGCCAAACTGTCTTGTGCTTCATCTAGCATGTCTTGTTTAGCTCTTGCAAACCGGTATGCTGCGGGACATCTACCTCCTGATCCAGTCCTTGCCACTTCATGCGGAGTGAGGGGCTGTTGCCCCGTGGCTAATTCAAATGGACTCATTCCTGTAGCAGATGACCGATGCAGATTATAACAAAACTGTGCACTATCCAACAGGTCAACCCAATTCCTCTGACTTGCAGTCACATAATGTCGGAGGTATTCTTCCAGCAATGCATTCATTCTCTCGGTCTGTCCATCCGTCTGAGGATGATTTGCTGTAGAAAACTTTAATTCGGATCCCATCAAGTTAAATAGCACAGTCCAAAACCGTCCCGTAAAACGGGTATCCCTGTCGCTAACAATATCCTCGGGCAAACCAAAGTATTTTACCACATACTTATAAAAGAGGTCTGCCGCAACATCCGCGGGACAAGCATGAGGAGCAGGGATAAATACAGCATATTTAGAGAACCGATCAACAACAACCATAACAGAACGCATACCGTTCACCTTTGGCAACCCGGATATGAAGTCCATGGAAACAGACACCCATGGCTTCATTGGAATAGGCAACGGTTGCAGCAGTCCAGCGGCCTTCTTTCTTTCTGTCTTGTCCAATTGGCACACCAGGCAAGTTTTGACGTAGGCCTCTACATCATCCTCCATTTTTGGCCAGCAGTAGGAACGAGACAGTAAAGCCATCATGCGTTGTTGTCCGGGATGACCCGCCCATTGCGGATCATGAGTTTCTCTGAGCAATTCCAATCTTAGTCCACCAACACTAGGGACATATAGTCTATCTCCTTTGCCGTGGAGTAGATCATTTTCCAGCCAATAGCGACGCACAGTGCCATCTTTCACTTGCTGAACCAGCCTTTGATATTCAGAATCAATTGCAGCACTTGCCCGAATTCTTTCCAACAGTTGAGTTTCAATGTTTGATATCGCAGCAACGTAGTCCACAATTTCCTTCCGACTTAAAGCATCAGCAACCTGGTTGTGGTGTCCAGGTTTGTGTCGCCATTCGAAGTCATACTCTTCAAGGAATTCTTGCCATCTGGCCTGCCTTGGAGACAACTTCTTTTGTGTTTTAAAGAAGGTATTTGCCACATTGTCCGTCAATACCATGAATTTGGTTCCCAACAGGTACACTCTCCTAATCTGCAGACAACGCACAACTGCTGTCATTTCCTTTTCATGGGCAGAATACTTCTTCTCCGCATCATTCAGCTTCCGACTTTCGAATGCAACCGGGTGCCCCTTCATGGGCAGAATACTTCTTCTCCGCATCATTCAGCTTCCGACTTTCGAACGCAACCGGGTGCCCCTCTTGCACCAGCACACCGCCAATAGCCTTATCTGAGGCATCAGTGTGTAATTCGAATGGAAGTTCAAAATCAGGTAACCGCAAAACCGGTTCACTTGCAACAGCCACTTTCAATTTGTCAAAGGCCGCTTGACAACTTTCATCCCACTTCCAGGGTCTGTCTTTCTTGAGCAAATCTGTTAGAGGTGCTGCCTTCTTTGAGTATCCCTCAATGAATTTTCTATAATAGTTGGCTAAACCCAAAAAGGAACGCAACTCAGTCACTTTGCTTGGTGCTTGCCAATCCGTGATTGCATGCACCTTTCTGTTGTCCATCTTTACGTGGCCTTTGCAAATTACATGCCCTAAGAACTTAATCTCCCGTTGGGCAAACTCACATTTTTCCTTCTTGACATACAACTGGTGTTCACGTAACCGAGAGAACACCTTCCGAAGGTAAGGGGGTCCTGTTCTGGCGGAGAGGTGTTGTCGTAATAAATGCTGTGATGGGCTGCATTAATGGTGATGTGCAGTGTCAATAACTTTGCAGATCTTTGTCTGCTGATGTGGTTCATCATTCTCTTGCTGTGTGTCTGAATGTCATTGGCTCTTTGTGTCATGTTGGACTCCAGCTGCCCTGGATGGTGTTCACGTAACCGAGAGAACACCTTCCGAAGGTAAGGGGGTCCTGTTCTGGCGGAGAGGTGTTGTCGTAATAAATGCTGTGATGGGCTGCATTAATGGTGATGTGCAGTGTCAATAACTTTGCAGATCTTTGTCTGCTGATGTGGTTCATCCTTCTCTTGCTGTGTGTCTGAATGTCATTGGCTCTTTGTGTCATGTTGGACTCCAGCTGCCCTAGACCTCGTCAACTGGGTTATGCACTGTGCTTCAAGTGATGGGCCGTGGGTGGTTCATGGCCTTTATGGGCTTATACACATCACCCTCAAAGCAACGATGACTCTACCACATAGCTGATGGGTCCATCCTCCCATCAACCAAATAAAAGCTCTTTAAAAAAAAAATTATTCATGTTGTTTATATTTTATTTTATATAGTTTAATTATTTTAAAAAATTAAAGATCCCATCCAAAAAAAAAAAAAAAAATCAATACAATGGTGATACTATCTCACTGGTATCATCATCCAATAACATCTTGCCATTTGCCTTCTCATGTATATATGACAATATAGTTATATTTTGAAAATAAAGTTCACCCTTTACAAGTAAGTTTATTGTTGGTAGATAACACCACGAGTCAATTGTGACATGATATCACCATGACACTGAATTTTTACTCTATTTAGTAAACAATATCAAAAATACACTTAATTTAAATACACTTAAAAAGTAAAATATTTGTGAATTCTTTTTAAAAAATTATTATATAAAAAATATAAAAATTCAATATATTTTTTACAAATATTTTATTTTTTAGGCGCATATAAAAAAATGACTAAATATAAAAACAAATTCACTAAAGGCACCAAAATATAAAAAATAAAAAAGCTCAAAAATTATTTTTAAAAATTCAAAATCAAACAAAATAAATGTTGTTTAGTTAAAAAAAATTTAAAATTGGTAAAACATAAACTTATGAAATAATCTCATATGTGCAAATTTCTAAAGTCACAACTGCCTCAAATATGTAATAATTGGTAAGGCTTATGATTGGCCACAACAAAAAACTCCTAGAAAAAAGGCCAAGAAAGTTTCTAAACATGGGGTAGTGGTGACCCTGAATTGATGGAAAACAGGCTAATTGTGTGGTAACTGCCCCAATTCACATCCTCTTTAAGAGTCCCCCCAAATACATCTCCTTCCCATCGTTGTCTCCATTTTCCAATTTGAAAAACCATTAAAACATAGAAGAAAAAAATGGAGACACCACGGTATCAAACACTTGTCTTCTTTTCATTCTGTTCTCTCCTCATAAACGCTTTCGCAAGTCTGCATGAGGTTGCTCCTGTTAGCGAGAAGTGAGTTTTCTATAACTACTCTTCTTCATCACTGAGGGTTTTTTTTTTTTTTTTTGAAAGATTTCCAATAATTTGATTTTTCAAAAACAAATTTTGAGTTTTTTTCAATCCGTATTTTTTATTTTTTTGTGAATTTTTAAATATTTTGATTAAATTTTTATTTATATATTTTTATATGTATTTAATCTAGATATGTTAAAAAAGTGTGCAGAAATCTTTAAAAAAATTCAATAAATACAAAAAAATATATATATATAAAAATATATTATTTTTTGTAATTTTATTTTATTTTTATTTTTTTTTTTGTATTTGTTAGTATTTAGTGATTTTTGTAAAGATTTTTCAGAAATTTTATATTTTTAAGTGTTTTTAAATTAAGAAAATCCAAAAAGTGAAAAGCATTGATTAAAACATTTTTAAAATTTACTAAAATTAACAAAAATATAAATTTAAAATTTAAAAACTATTTTTAAAAATTTCAAGCCAAACCCCCTCTACAAAGACATTCGAATTAGAATAATTGTTATTATGGATCTCTTTTGAATAGTTTTGTTGAGATAATCCAACAAATTAATTTAAAACAACCATAATTGTTTTTTAAAATACCTGAGATTATTCATTGTGATTCAATTCTATAAATATATAAAATTACAGCATCCACACAGTTTATTTCGCCTACAACAATCTGCCTAATAAGGTGACAAGACATAATACATATAAGGAGAGTTTTAAAGAAATATTTGAATGAGTCAATTTTTTAAATTTTATTTGCCACATGATTTGAGGGGATTTGGAAGGGAAAAATTATATAAATAAATCATTTTTATCATATTAATGAATCTTATGATTTACAATTTCATACAATTAACTATTTTAACAAAACGATTTATGTTATAACTTTTGTGGTAATATTTTTGTATATTAATTTTGGCAGGTTAGGAGTAGCAAGACATCAACAATGGAGAGTAGAAGGCAATCCAGTCCTCTCTCAAATCTGCAAATCAACAGACTATGTCGACCTCTGCATCTCCTCCATCAAACCACTCATCCACGGCAAGACTGACACCGTCTCCGTCCTCGAACAAGCCATTAAAGTGGCCATTAACAACGCCAAGACCGCCGTCGCTGTTGCCACCAAAATCTCCACCATCCCCAACACTCCTCCAGACATGAAATCCATCGCCAGCGATTGCAAAGACAGTTATGAAGACGCTCTTGACAACTACCAGAAGGCTTTGGAGGCTCTAGGCATTAAAGATGTTGGCACCATGAATAGCATGCTCAGCGCGGCTATTACTGACTCCAGCGATTGCGATGATAGGCTTTCGGGGAACAAGTCGCCATTGTTGGACTTTGATTCCAAGATGAAACAGATGACCAGCAATTGCCTTGCCATTGTTTCTTTGGTCAAGATGTGAGATCTGTTGTTGAAGTGGCTCTTGTCTTTTTTTGTTCTTTTTCTTTTTTTGAATGAGGGAACAGGTGCTGCATGTATTATATTACGCATGTTGAGAAGAAAAGTGTTTATTATTAATAAAGGATGTTTATTAAAATTCCTTACAATTTTTTTTTGCTTGATGGGAAATGATGAAGTCTTGAATATATAATAAATTAATTATAAAATCAGTCACAATTCTATCACACGAGATGGTTGTGTTTGATTATATAATTAGTTTCTATACAATTAAAACAACTGATGAGAAATTATAATTTTTTTAAGATTGTGTTTAGATTTTAAAAAATAATTAATAGAGGAACAAAAAATGAAGTGATTAAAATTTAAGTTAAATTTTGAACATGCTTGATATAATATTTAGCAAATAGAAGTTAGGAAAATACTTGAGACTCCCATTTTGGAGAATCCCATGACTTTTAAATGATTGTGATTAGCCATGTATAATTTTTTATTTTTTTTTTAATCTCTCTCTAACATGTGTGCGTGGGGTCATGAGAGTGGAGTGTCTGTGGGGTTTCTATCATTTCTATAGAAGTTAATAATAAAAAAGTATAAATTAAAAGGTGTAGTAGACTACAGAGTGGGGTTAGGTATAATGGGATCAATGTTTAGTAAAGAGGAGTGAGTCTTCGTATTTGTACACGCCCTTAAGCATACTCCTTCGTAAGTTTAATTAAGCGTACACATTTGTAGGTTTAAGGGTTGTTTGGGATGTTTTAAAAGTGTATTTTTTGACTTTTTATAAAATATAGGTTGGGTTTGAAATAATGTAGTAGAAATGTGATATGACTTAAATAGGATAATAACTTTTTGACTTTTTAATTTTTTTAAAAAATGTCAAACTTAGCCTTAGGCCTCCTTTGGCAAGTGACTTTTTTAGCCAAAAAGTCCAAAAGTCACTAGAAAAATCAAAAAGCCAATAACTCATACCAAAAAATAAAAGATTCTCTTCTCTCTACTTTTTGCACATCTTTTCGTACAAAACCAAAAAATCATCCCAAATATACTAATTTTTTTTAGCTTATATTTTAACCAAATAATTAAAAAATTACTAAATTAACCTGTTCGTGAGCCTTAGTTATAATATTTTGTTATAAACATTATGCTTTTTTGTCACGTGACTTTAATGATTAAAAATCAAGAGACTTTGCAATGTCTTTTGTTAAGATGTTTTGCGATGTGACTTGGAAATTATTACATTGTAATTACAACAGTACACTTGGCATATAATTTTTAGAATGTGCATCACAACATTTTCTTTTTTAAACCTAAATAATGTTAGCGATTTTAAATATTTTTATCAATATTTTTATTAAATATATCACATGAGTATAAGATCCATATATATGAATTACACACTCATATGAAATATTTAATAGTAATATTGATAAACATTTAAAATTCCTGACATTTTTCTTTTTAGACATGAAAGTTTCTGGACCAGACTTCATAATCATAAATATACTAGTTCATAAGTTCATGTTTAATTGGCAGAATAAATTATCCCTATTTCGTAAACATCCGGCGAATACATTATCTTGGAATAAGTTGTTCCATTTCTCCCCTTGAAACAAAATAACCCATGCAAAACAAAATCCCCTTGAGAATGAATTATCTTTGGTCAAAAAGTTTAAATCAAATGCTAAATTATATACAAATATGCAGACCTATAATTCAAACTTAACCTAAAGATGTAGACAAGTTTCTCTCTCTTCCAAACACAGCCAATCATTCATTCATTCCTTGAGATACAGCAATTCAAACTTCACGCTTAGCTTAGCCCATTCATGTTCATCACTATATACAAAACCTCATACTAGTCTTAATAACAAACCAATAAATTATGCTTAAAAGTCCGAATATGCATGACATATTTATATTGTGGCTGGGGTATCAACAAGAAGAGGCAAGAGTGATGTAGTACAAATCCCTCCAGTTAGGTAGAAAAATTAAAATAATATCTTAAATATACTATCCATCAATTGCATAAACCACCACCATATCTACGATCCATCCATGAAGACAGCACCATGTCCGCTAGCTTTCAAAAACTTCTTCAACAAGAGAACAACGATGGCAATGGTGAGCCCAACAGCAGCCCATGTGAACAAGCGATCATCAGCCGGTTTCTGAACCCTTCTTGGTACCGACCTCTGCAAAAGCTGCTCCCTTGAGGGTCCAGCAGGAACCTGTCTAGGTACCCCAAGCTCAGCGGATCCGGGATTTGCATTCAAAGGAGCTCCACGCTGTTCTTCAATGATCCTATCACCCACAACTGGATTTGTAAGTTCTTCCCCAGCAGCTACTGCACCAGCCTCTAGAGGGCTCTGGTTTGATTCATCCTCTTCGTTGGCAGGGTGTTCTTCAGAAGCCTGTGTGGGATTGGGCTGTGGAACTGGCGGTGCCTTACTTAACATACACTCGTGAATCTGTGCAATGAGAATGGACAGTCAGGATGAGATCTTACATAAGGAAACATATAACTGAAGGAGAATCCACGTCATAACAAACCTCATCAATTAGTTTTTGCCTTTCAGGAGTACCAAACCTTGGGGCAGCTTCACGAGATTTAACAGCCAGAACACGTCTTTCTTCTTTCTTGTAGTCTAATGAGCCCAATGCGCCATTTGGGTTGGTGGGCATGAACGCAATTAGAGCTACTAAAGCAGTCCGAACTGGAAACAGTTATATACATAAATGATGAATTAAATTTAAAATAAAAAATCAACATATATCTACAATCATGTGATGTGATGAGAATGATCAACATCCATCAATTTATCAGTTTCTGGCATATTTCGTAATTCATGAACATTATTCACTGAATCAACTATACATCATGAAACAAAACAGAGGAACAAAATTGAGAAAGTGCTTGGCTTCCACAACTAACAAGTTAAAACCAAGCCTAGCAAAAGTTCAGGCTGAGAAAACAAGGCACCCTGAATGGAAATGTACATGGATCCTGAAGCACAAGCACATAATAAATAAATTTGCTAAATCCCTATGTCACCTAGAATGTGGACGGTTTCAGTCAGTAGAAGAGGAACAGGATCAGGAACGTGATGCACAATATTGTCTAAAATGCGATATGATAAGGGTAAGCTTGTTAAATTACATTATTGGAATTTAAGGTATTTTAGAGCAATTTTATTTTTAACAATTAGACATCCAATAAAATATTGTTTTTCTTTTCCAAATTAATCATATATTAACATATTTCTATGAGCATTATGAATCATTTCTTACATTTTGTCATACCAAAACTTCACTCTTTTTAGATTTTAGTTTGTTATATTTCATTTGTTTTTCCTCCTAAGGCAACTTTTAACGTTTCTATTGGAAAACATTTTTTTGAAATGCTTTGAATCACTGAATCCGCCATTCCCAAAACATAAATCGCTAAGGTATATTGGTCTTTTCTGGTAACACTGCCTAAATCCACTTGTTATACGCACATTTCATTCATGCATCTGTAAAATAAAAGATTTAGCTACACTTTTATCAATTCTTTAATCTAATGAGAAGCACAATTGCAAAATCTAAGTTGGTTGCTACCATCGCCTCTCAACTAAGCTGCAAAAATTGGTCTCAAAAGCAAACCATATGCATAGACATAGCTTGCAGCTATATAATCACTCTACCAAAAAAAATACCCACAATGTACCAAGAACAAAAAATTTACCACTCCATGATGGCTGCCAGTGCTCAGGATGATGATTTGATATGCTAAGACATATCTTTGTCTGCGTTTCAAAACGACCGTTCGGCTGAAACAAGGGCAACAAAACAGGATTAACATGACATGTTTCTTATGAACATTATCAAAATATTTGATGATATGCCCTCACAAAAATTATTATTATTATTAAATGATAATAGCACAAACCAACAGTTACACAAATTCATATAATAAGCGTTTCTTGAAAGAATGACATTACCGACAACAGCATAAATGAGGGAGGTTTGAATGGGTATTCTGCAGGCAATTGGATTCGTCCATGGTAGACGCCTCCCTCAAACTCAGTATCACAGGGTCCCCTTATTGCAAATTGCCACTCAAATATATTCTCCTGAGAACACATTTTATAGGCTTAATACAGAGAATGTAAAAATCCTATAGAATACCAAAATAATAGAAAAAAAAAAAAAAAACAGATCATTGAAATTGTGGTTGTAAAATAACATTATGTTTGGATCTCAGAGTAACGAAATTACAAATAATGAAATAAAAGATATGTTAAAAAACCAGTCGAGATTAAAAACTTCCAAATCCAGCTTCTTATGTAGTATTCTCGTGCAACTAATTAAATTTCCACCATCCAATCAAAGCCCCCTTGTTGCTTGATATCCATTAAAACTTGGCTTACTAAAACGGGCAGTCATGAAAAATTTTAGCAATCCTTAGGGATTTGATCTTAATTCCTCAATCATGCAAAACACAAAATTAGACTGATCAATGCTGCAAAGCAAGTAGCCCAGGGCTTTGTGTTCTATTACAGTCATAAGAACACAAGGTCACAAATTAAAATTGACAACATAATACCTAAGAGTGCAAATTCTGGATGGTCATGTATATTAAGCAACATATAGTGCATGAATGCTTCAAAGGACTCAGCTCAATCAATAACACAAGGAAAAAAAATCATAAGAACAACTTCGCATGTAAGTGGTCAAATTGGGTCATCATGTCAAAAATTATGAAGCATGACAAAAAAGCATCACCATATGAACACATATAGGTGTGCATATTTTTGTCTACTTGTATTTTATGCCCAAAAAATAGGTACTGAATCTACTGAAATATATGAATAAATCGAGTATAATTTTGAAATTTTAATCTGAATCACATAATCAAAGTTAGCTCAACTAACAAAATTAAACAAGGAAAGAAAGAAGAAAAAAAAAAAAAATCAAAATCAAAATCAAAGCCCTAACCATCATATGAGCAGAAAATACCAATCTCACCAAAATTCATCTCCAAACATAAAGGTAACCGTCTCTCATGAGTCACATTCAGAGCTACCAATCTCACCAAAATTCAATTCCAAACATAATGACGGACACTTCCAGAGATTCCACAGCAAAAATGCATATATCAACACAAAATAAAAAAAATAAAAAAAAAAACTCGATTGATCTCAGGAACAAAAACACACACACACAGACCCAAAGGCCCCCCCAGAGTGAGAGGAAGAGGCCAAGGTTATGGTCCTGGCGGACGTCACGGCCGAGGTCGGGGTGCAGGCAGAGGGAGACATCGAGGTCCAGCTGCAGATCGTGATATAGTTGCACCAAATGATGGAGTTTCACAGCTCACAGCAATATCCGATGTTATGCCAGAGGGAGGATCAGAGGTAGCATAGGCAAGAGAGGGAAGGTCACAGTCACAGGCTCCATAGGCAGTCATTGAAGGGCCACATACAGGGGAGGGAGCGCCACAGGATCTGCATTTGCGATTGGGGGAGCGACATATTCAGAGAGTCTATAGCAAGAGACTGAGAAGAGAGGTGCATCTCCAGGGCTGTGGGACTGGGGGCAAGTTAGGGCATTAGAGGGTATGATACAGAGTATATAGTTTTTTTTTTAAAATAGTTTTTGTATTTATCAAAAAAAGAAAAAAAAAAGAAAAGAAGGTAATTGTTGAAAAATTTAATTCATTTCTCAATTGCTAGAAAGTTAGGCTATGTTTGGTAGAACTTTGGAACTTTAGTTCTATCCTTTGGTTTGCATATGGTGTTTGTTTACAATTTTAAAAAACAACGCTGCTACAGACCCCCACTGGGGGTCGACTCCCAGTGACGTGGCGGGCCTCCATTGGCCAGTTTTCTTTTCTTTTTTTTTTTTTCTTTTCTTCCAATCCTGCAGTGCCATGTGGCACTGGGGGTCGGTGGGGGTGGGTTTTACTGGGGTCCGGCGCATTTTTGTTTTAAAAATTAATTCCACACTCACTTTTGAAAACTTTGACCAAGGCGAGAAAATTTAGGTTAACCGGTCGTCCTCCCGGATGTCTAGCTGGTCGTCCTCCCGGATATACCTGTTGACCGAAACAGTGCAAATTATTATTATTATTATTATTTTTAACAATTGCCAATTTTTAAATTTTTTTTTATGAGTTTTGAATAAAATTTTGAGTTGTGTGTTTAATTATGAGTTGTAAGTTTTTATATCAAATATCATATGTCACATTAGAAATTTCCTACTCAATTCAAAACTATTTTCAAAACTTATTCACCAAACAAACTTTTGAAAACTTTGACCAAGGCGAGAAAATTTAGGTTAACCGGTCGTCCTCCCGGATGTCTAGCCGGTCGTTCTCCCGGATATACCTGTTGACCGAAACAGTGCAAATTATTATTATTATTATTATTATTTTTAACAATTGCCAATTTTTAAATTTTTTTTTATGAGTTTTGAATAAAATTTTGAGTTGTGTGTTTAATTATGAGTTGTAAGTTTTTGTATCAAATATCATATGTCACATTAGAAATTTCCTACTCAATTCAAAACTATTTTCAAAACTTATTCACCAAACAAATTGTTCACACTCAAATCATAATTTCAAAACTCACAAACTCAAAATACAACTATATTCTCAAATCATATTTAAAAAATTCTACCAAACGCAACTTTTTAACAATTTTAGCGATATATATAACAATTTTTTTAGTTGAAATATCTAAAAAATTACTATTTAAGCAATTAACAAACAAATCAAAATGAGTTGTGCTAAGAAAAAAATCATTGAAAAAAAATTATTTCTTTAAATAGATACCGAACACTTTAATTTTTTAGCTTTGAATTTTTGTTATAAACAAAAAAAGAAATAAAAAAATTTAAAAGCAGTCATCAAATCGTGATGCACAAATTTTTTGGGCCCATATCGTGACTATTGTGTATGAAGTCTTCCAAAAATTTATAATTTAAGATGACTATATGGTAATTTACTAGACTAGACCTATTTTCATATCTTTGATATGTATGAAAATAACAATATAATGTTCATAAGACCAAAGAGAGATGAAAGATAGATGGAATTACATAAAATGCATTTGGAAAATGTTTCAGAAATTCCACACAGAATATACCATAAGAATAAGAATAATGTGGTGATGGCATATTCATAAATTATTATTAAAATTATGATTATTATATCTTTAAATAGTGAAACTGTAATTTTTCGTATTATTTTATATATTTTTTTAATTTGTATGTCATTACTTGATGCCTTTTTCAATTTAAATTTTTTAATAATAAATGCCTATTTTGACAACTGGGAAAAAATTCAGTTTATTGTCTTATTTAAATCATATTATCTCTTAATTTTTTTTGCACATTAAAAAAAAAAATGTAAAAATGGGTCAGAATAAGAGATTTCATGGACAAGGCTTTGTTTAGATTACAATGAAATTTATGTTGGGCCTGTCTGGCCCAACTCAAAGTAGTACAAGGCTTGATTTAGATGATAACGGAATGAATGTTGGGCCTGTCTGGCTTGCTCCTAAGTAGGCTCGAGTCTGAGTCTTCAATTCTCTTGTTCAATCCCTTTCTCCCTCCTATACAAAAAAAATCAAAATTAGCTCAGGTTGATGGGCAATTCTAGCATAACTCGAGTTGATGTTATTAAATTTCAATGAAATTTGGACAAACAAACTTAAGTTGATAATTGAGTTTGGGTGAGTCTAAACAACGTGCCACATAATTTGGATCAGGTATAAATAATTCTTCAATCAAATGACACCAGCCCAAGTTATAAACTTGCTTTTGCTCAATAGATCTTATAAATTGAAGGATTCGTTACATTTTTTTCTCATAAATTATTGGATTTTTTCTATTTCATATATTCAACCCCTAAATTATAATTTTAATTAATGTGATGATCATGGAGTAATTATAATTATTTAAATTAGTAATCTTTAAAACCTAATTTAGTGTGTAAAAATATTATATCAAAATTTAACAAATATTTTTTTCGAACCCGAATTTTAACAACTTAAATCAAAGAACTTCTATATCCACACGCCAATTCATTCATTTTGCACATATACTTCTTCAATGTACATATATGCATATATTAGATTTAAAATAGAGTAAATTATAATTTAACCTCTTGTGATTTAATCAAAAAACATGGAACCCTCCTATAATTTTATTTGTAACACTTAAACCTCCTGAACTTCATACCAAAGTGCAATTTCAGACGGAACTGTTTGTTACACGACCACAAAATCAAAATTTTCCCCCCTGAACCACATTGGATAAGTCCTCACATTATTCTTCCCAAGTTTTTTGAAAACCAAAGACGTTGCTTTTCTCTCTAAAATACTTCTATCTCTCTAACTGATCTCCTTCATTTTTCCATATTTCCTTTTCATTTTTGTTTCATTATTCTTTTAAAATCTATGTCTATTATTCTCTTAACTCAAATTAAGTTAACTCATAAATTAAAATCTATGTCTATCATTCTCTACCATGACAACTACCATCATGCTTAATCTTCTCTTTATTATTATAGACACACATACATTATATACATAGGTATACCCAATTAACTAAGCCAAGTCCCAAATTATAATGGTGACAACCACCATGGGTGCAGTGAGAGGGAAAGATGGTGGGTGGTGGGTGTTGGTTGATTGGAGGAGATGGGATGAGCTGGGCGGGTGTTTGCAACTATGGACTATTTACAAAAAGTTATGGTTTTTTTTATTGAAAATGCATTGCATTTTCCTAGTATTGTTTGATGTTTATTGAAGTTTCTGTGAGTTGACTTCGCTTTTCTATTTAGATTTGGTGCAAAAAGTTATGGTTTGGGTCTACAATCTAGAGAGAGATATGATTGTTTGTTTAGGTCTAAATTTTAGAGAGAGAGAGATGAGTATTTGTTTGGGTCTAAATTCTAGAGAGAGAGAGATAGATATGCATTTGATGATGGTATGAGAAGTGTGGAAGAGGAAAAGAATACAATGAGAGAAGAAGAAAATGAAAAGAATACATAAAAATTAAAGAAAAATGGGAGAGCATATTTTGGTTTATAATGACATTAAGAAGAAAATTAGGAAAAGAAATAAGGGTAATTTAGACTTTTTATAACTTCTGT